ACCAGCCCCAGGTACTGCTGAGGACAGTGAGAAATGACCACTCTGAGGTGTGAAACACGAAGTATTTGGGGGGAAGGAGCCACCACAGAGCCAAGCTAGCTTTTTTGTTAAGTTTTTTTTTTGGCCAGCTGCTTGTTTTGCTGTTAGAAAAATGATGGCAGAGGTGATGGCTCCTCTTGGCCTGGCCAGGGTGGCTTGAAGAAGGCCACATGGACCTTTAGGCTTAAGGAGCCTTCAGAAGACCAGCCCAGCTCCTCTCCATCACACCCACGAATCCTCAGGTCCATGTCTGCCAAAGGCTGCAGCTCAGGTGGCTGCCACGGGCAGAGCATCCTCCTCTCCTGGTGTCCTCCAGGACCACCACAGGCATCCCACTCCTCCATCTCCCCCACAGCACCAGCCTGGCACTCACCGTTCTCCTCCGACCCCTCTGCTGCTGGCGTTGCCAGGGAAAGAAAACAGCACAAGTGAATGACCCCCACACCTCAGGCACCATGGGGAAGGTTTTAGAGACAACAGAGAGCCTGGACATCCCCTGAGAGCTCTGCAGGTGCTACTGGGCTGGGGATGGACCCTCTGCCAGTGCTGTGGTTGGCACCTTTTCTTGACAACAGGCTGTTCCTGCACCCGTGTGCCACCTCAGTGGGTTTGAAACTTCTTCCCAGGTTTGCTTCACCCCCCCTCTCAGCAGGCACAGCATCCCAAGGAGAGAGGAAAACCCTTGCCTACAAAACCAGGGGAAGATCAGCTCCCAGCAAGCACAACCCTTCAGCTGCCAGGGCCACTGAGACCAGACCCAGAGGGCACAACTGAGTGCACATCATCACAACGATGGTGGGCTCAGGACTGGAGACCACCTCTATGTTTTCTCCATGCCAGCACTGGCACAGGTTGCCCCCAGCCACCTCCAGCATGCTCAGGATGTGGCCAGTCCCTTAACAGAGGTGAAACTGAGCTCAGCACAACCCCTCTTCCCAGGGAGCTAAATCTGAGGAGGGACAAGCCAAACTCATCCAGTTTTCTCCACCTTGCTGTGATCTCCAAGATGCTGTGGTGAGCATCTTCCCCAGCTGGCCAAGAGTCACAGCTCCTCTTCATGGCTCCCCAGGAGATATCTCCTCTAGCTACACCATTCACCCAGGTCCAAGAACTACAGCAGGAGAGTCTGGAGACCACTCTGCCCCCAAAAACACATCCCCCCCACCCCAAAACCTCTTGCACTCACTGCAAAGGGGTGGTAGGGAGCAGCCGCCGCGGCCCCTCGGGCCCCCGGCGTGGATGGCAGCATGGACAGCCCCGTGGAGAAGATGCCCAAAGCATTGAGGTTCAGTCCTGGGATCAGGTTGGCTTGTTGCTGGGAGAAAAAACAACCAAAACAACAAAAAAAAAAACACAAGACAGAGAAAAATGTAAAAGGCAGAGTGGGGTTTTTTTGGGTGTCTCGCCACACGGCGCGGGCAGGATGAGCGAGGGCCAAGCCCTCAGGTTTTCTGGTGGCCACCTCAGCGGTGGCAGCCCGGGTGGGAGGACTGGGAGCTTACATGAACAGCCACCACGTCGTTCTCGTAGGCCTCTCGCAGCTTCTTCATGATCTCCACTTCAGCCTTGGAGCAGGCCTCCGTGCTGCCCTTCACCGTGATGGTCCGCTCGGGGTTATAAAGGGTTAAATCCTGCAAACTACCCCCCCAGAGACAACCCCAGAGGGAGTTACAGTTTGATTTCGAGGCAAAGAAAACCCCCAAAACCCCCAAAAAGAGGACCTCCAATCCAAGTGTGGCTCGGGTGTTGCCCAGGACTCACGGGGAGATGGTGATCTTCGTGCCCGTGTCCTGCTCGATCTTCTTGAGGTTGCGTCCCTCCTTGCCAATCAACCTCCCCACCAGGCTGTTGTGGGCTAGGATCTTCAAAGGAATCTCTTCTGCTCTGAAAGGGGATTCAAAAATCAAATCTGAAGGTCCATCTGGCCAGGGAACTAATTTCCAGCAAGGGGTACTCATGATGGGGTGGAAGAAGCAGAACCACCACTGGTTTTGACCAACGTATCTCCCCAGCTTCTGGGGAATGGGATCTCAGGGACTTCCCAAGCCCCACTGGGCACATCTGTGTCTCGTGGGGCTCTGTTCTCCAAGTTTGCCTACATGCTCTTTGAACCTGCCTAAGCTTCTGTCAAACACACCATGGAGAAGTTAAGTTCCAAGTTATTAACTGACCCATGACTCTGCTGAAGCTCCAGCAGTTCCCTCAGGGAACTGGGGGATGACAGAAGATGGTTTCTCCACGGAGAGCTAAAAATTTACCTCCCTTCCCACCAAACCTGCCCCTTTTGCTGAGGCAGAGGCACTTACGACTTGGTTTCATCAGCCTCCTTCTGCATGATGTGGAGGATCATGCGACAGGCTTCGGAGCAGCCCTCTGGCGAGGCGTGGATGGTGATGGGCTTCTCAGCTGTCCCAGCGTTCTCCTTCCGATGGATGTCCACCCTGTGACAAAGCAACCAGCAGAGAGGAGCCCCCTGAGGCATGTCTGCTGTCACACCAAGGCTTTTGAGAGCTCGGGAGCTTGCTAGTCACAGAAAAGCTCATTTCAACCACTGCTTAAGCTCTGGGGTGAAGCTGGGTCTCGCTGAAGGTGCATCTGCCATCACCTGGTCTCATGCAAGCCCTCGTGGTGCTTTGCTTCAGCTGGTTTACATCAGATTGGAGCTACATTAGGACCTGAGGTCTGGCTGGGAGCTGAGGGACGTCAATCAACATCCAACGATTTGCCAAGAGGAGGCAGAACAAACCCTCAGCTAGACAAAACCCTGAGCGACCTGAGCTTGGACCCCAGTCCCACCTGGGGCAGGAGACTGGAGCAGAGTCCTCCTCCACAAGTCCCTTCCAACCTTCCTCTCTCTCTGCACAACACCCAAGGCTGCCACAACCCTCACGTGGGACAGAGGGACCACTTACCCAGAGGCAGCATTTGTCACAACACGGAGGCAACAACAGTGCTTGTACTCACGCCCTTCCTTGAGAGACCAGATCTAGCTCTTCTGGTCCTCCCCTCAGCTCATGGCAGGGAGGAGGCCCCTGCCTCCAGCTCGCTCCTCACTGCTCAACCGTACCTGGCAAAGGCCCTGAGAGAGAGGGAGAGAGGAAAGCAGGGTAGGGAACTCCTGCACGTCAACCCCACGTCTTGAAGAACAGGGCTGAGAAACTTTTCCGTCTTCTCCGGGCTCTTCCCACCAGAGGATGAGGCCACGAGGCCATCCTGCCGTTGGCCACCACCTCGGTGTCCCTGTCTCTGCTGCAGGTGGGGCTGCCATGGCCCAGATCTTCTGAGAAGGTGCCGTGGGGGCTGTGCCCAGCCACTCGGCTCCAACACGGGGCCCTCCGGCCACGGCTGTTTTCCTGGGAGTTCCCCATCCCAACTGGGCTCGTTGAGGGGTGCTGCTGTGCAGGCAAGGGCAGGGTTGGTGGTGCCAAGCCACTCCCAACCCATCAAGGCCACGCTGGAAGGCTGCAGGGTCACGGTGGGCTTGCACAGCTCCTCCAGGAGCTCCTGAACCAGCGTGTGGAACCGACGACACTCCACTCGCAGGCAGAGGGGGAGTTGCTGGGTGAACCTTCCCTGCCACGAGGGAAGAACCTACCCCACCAGCTTCAGAAGGGACCCCAGGCTGCTTCATCTGAGCCCTGAAGCCTGAAGGCAGATGCTCCATCCCCTCCAGCTCTTCAGATCTCCCGTGGTTTCAGCTAGAAAGTTCAGGCAGGAGACTGGTCCTGCTTGGATCGTGCAAGGAGGTGCTGGGGATGGTGCCACCACCGAGCTCTCCATGCCCTTTGTTCAGGTCTACAGAGCACAGTGCCCTGGCTGTGTGCTGTGTGATGCTTTCTGAGGTTCTCCCAGCTGTGGAGCTCCATCCAGTTGACTTGGAGGATCTTTTCCTTCAGAGGCAGGAGGCAAAGGCATCACAAAGTGCCACAGAAGGTGACGACAGCATGACAAACCCCCCAGGGGGGGAGTCCAGCAGCCCCTGGAGCAGCTCAGCCTGGTGGAGGTGGGGCATGCAGCCCAGCCTGGGCACTGAAGAAGGGCCAGGAGCCAGGGAGGGGCTGAATGGCTGCACCAAAGGACCCCCAGCAAGCCCAGGAGAGGGACACTGGCCGTGCTTCTGGTTGACTTCCACAACCCATCCCAGGCCTGAGCTTTGCAGAGAGAGAAGATGGAGGCACTAGGAAAAAGCTGCTGCGTTGAGGCACGTCCCACCCTGGAGAGCTGAAGGGTGGAGGAGGGCTCTGGGCTTCTCAACACATCCCAGTGGTGCTGCTGCACAGCTCCCTTCCAACAGGAGGAAGGAGAAGTGGATCCTCAACCCCCTCATCCCATCAGCAGCTGCCTGGGACCCCAGGGTGCTGCACACAGGCTAGACTGGGGCAGATGACAACAAGGAGGATGGGACAGTGACCTCCAAGACACCTTCTGAGGGCACTGGGAACCCTTCAGAGAGCCCATCTCAAGATGGGCAGCATGGTGTGCACGTAGGGTTCTCCCAGCCCCACGGCTGCTTGGTAGGAAGAGTCCTCTCCTCATCCAGCTACAAGGGCTGCAGTCACTGTGGAAGGTCATCTGGATGGGTGGGCTCTTGGTCTGAGCTCAGGAAAGAAGAGTTTGGCTCCACCTGGGGACAGTTTTGTCCCCTGAGCATCACTGTGTGTGGAGACAGGGGCAAAGTCCTGCACGACCAGAGGAATCCAGGATCCAGAGTCATCTGGGAAGGAGCAACAGGATGCCACCAGCACCCTCATCCTCAGGATCACCACAACAGTGACCAAGGGTGGCCTGAGCAGGGACAGAGCTGCAGGTTGGGGACCCAAACCCAAGGCAACAATCCCCTGAGGCTGCCCAGGCCAGGCCCAAGTGCCCCTTGCCCAAGCTTGGTGCAGAGTTGGTGGCCCACCATGGCATGGGGCCACCTCAGGCAGGTCAGGAGGGGGAAGAGCATGGAGCACAGCCTTCCTCCATGGCATCAGGTCTTTGGGGCAGGTGTGGGCAGCCAGTCCACACGGAGGGACAGCTCAGGGGCAGAAACTGCCCCAAGCAGCAGCATCTGGCCTCGTGGCTGGGAGAAACTGGCCACCAGTGCCACACACCTTCCTCACCAGGCTCAGGCCTTGCTGAGGGCATCCTTCCAGTGTTGGGTGGCAAGCACACCACCACACCCACTGCCCCTCACACCAGGGGACTCACCTGGAGCAGAAGGGCTTGAGGCCAACCTGGACTAGCTCATGGCTACAAGGTGGCCACACCCTAGGGCTACTCAAGGAGTTCCTCTCCCTACACCTCCATCCCCCTCCCATACAAACCTCCCCCTGCACACCCAGCTCTGGGGTTGGGCTCCCCCAGCTGCTGAGTGGCTCCTCCTCCCACCTCCTGCTCAAGCAGACGTGCTACCCCCCAACCATCTGCCTCTAAAAGCTTCCCTGAGAACAAGGAGGCCCTGGGAGATGTTGTGGTTACAGGAGTCCTATGTCCTGTGAGATCATCAGGTTCAGGATGATGAGGCATGGGAGAAGACAGCTTTGGGTTAAACACACACCAATCTGGGCAGGAACAAACCATGCAGGAAAACCATGCAGAAAATCAGAGGTGAAAGCAACGTGAACATTGACAAGAGAAACATGGAAAAAAACTTTGGCCAGAGGGGTTCCCTCCCCACCCTTTTTTTTGGTTGTTTTTTTCCCTTCAAAAATAAAAATATTAAGCCTGCAAAGAAGGCTTCAGACTTCCAAAAAAAAGCCCCCATCCTTCTCAAAGGCAGCACCCACGGTGTCCCCTTCCCCCTGCCCCAGCTCTAGCCCTTATGGGGCACTAGGGGATGAGCCAATCCCCAAAGGGCAAAGGCTGTGGCACTGACCCCTCAGCATTTTGGCATTTCTCCCTAAACTTGCCACAGTTCTCCCTAAAGCCTTGTCCCCCAATCCTTCTGGAAACCCCTTCCTGGCCTTTCTGAACTGCTCCCAGGCTACTCTGGCCAGCAGGAACACGTGGGCTCTGCCACCATCCCCCTCAAGGCTGCACCCCAAGAAAACAACACCAGCCAACGTTCAGGAGCCCCAAAGCACACAAGAAGAACCACACCAGGGACCTGCAGCCCCCCTGCAGAAGGAAACAAAACCATTGGAGGTACTTACTTGGACTGGGTTTGCTTAGTAAGGTTCTTTATGGTCAAGCCCTCCTTTCCTATGATCGCACCAACAAACTGGGTGGGCACCAGCATCCTCAGTGGGAAATGGAGCTGTGTGGGCTGCCAGGAGCCCCCCGGGGAGGTGCCCAGCTCCCTGGAAGAACGGCCCCCCCGTCGGGACCGCTGCGGGGGCGCAGGGGAGCTCACCTCTTCATCTGGCAGGTAGGAAAGCTTGAAGGAATAGTTCTCAAACTGCTGGTCGCTCAGCTTCTCAACGGCTCTGGAAGGCAGGGAGATGAGGAAGGTGGGGAGGGGGTCCTCCAAAGGATGGTGACCCTCCTGGACCCTCAGCATTGCTCTGGTAGGGCAGGGTTCCTCGTCAACCCTGCGTCTTCCTCCCTCAGGGATAGTTTGGGTGGTGTGAAAACGTGGGCAGAGCCCAACAAAATCCACTCACACTTTTGCTTCTTCTTTCGTTGCGTACGTGACGTTGACGACGGCTGTTTCTGTGTCTGTGTTGACTGGGAGGAAAGCAAGAGAAGAACCATCAGACCACAGGAGAAGAGAGATGTCAACGTTGCTCCCAACCCCCTGGAGAGAGGGGATGCAGGTGGAGAGTGTGGGAGGGCAACACCCACCCCTTGGGGCACGGCCCTGGCCAACGAGCAGGGTGAGAGCTCGTGCACCACGATTTCCCCACCCAGCCCAGGCCAGATCCTGCCACCCTCAGCATGGCCAGACCCCACTGATCCACCTGCAAACCCCAAACAACTCTGTTTGGTTTTGCTAGCATGGACATCTGGGTTTTTATTTCAATTTGCCAGTGATTAGGAGCTCCAGAGATGGAGGACTTGATGGCCTCTGCCACCCCACCTCTGCCAGCAGGGTTTGTGTCTACAGGGAAAACATTTTAGCCCAGTACCAACGACTGGGAAAATGTGGTTTGACCTCATCAGGTTTTCTCCAGCATGTGAAAGGCTGAGGAGCTGTGCTGGGACCTTTGCAGAGATGGATGAGGACCATGCTGGACCATCTTACCTTGCTCTACGTTCTCCACCATGCCATACTGAGCTAGCAGGCCATCCAGCACCTGGGGGAGAGAGCAGCAAACAGGGCAGCTGAGGCAGGAGAGGCTTCAGCCAGGGGAGAGGAAGAGTCTGCTCCACCCAAAGACACTCTCCAAAGAGCCAGCATCACCCAACTGCTCGAGTGCCTTCCCCCACCTCCACCCCACCATCCTCATGATGAGCCCTACTCCTCCTGCAGCCCCAGGACCCGAAAGCAGGAAGGAGATGGAACCCAGTTCATGCTCCACCTTCCTCCTGGGGCCACTGGGAAGGTAGAGGGTGGCTCATGTGCCAATCCCCTGCTCCAGCAGCACAGCTCATGCTGCCTGGCACAGCTGATGGGGAGGAAGGGAGCAGGATGCTCCAAGGACTGTTGGCCTCTTACCTCCCACTGCAGGTGAGGGGGGATGTTTCGGATCTGGATCTTCCTGCTCCTGCAAAGACAAAGCCCTGGGTTAGGGTCTGCAGGAGGCCAAGGGCTTTCCAGGAACCTGGCAGCAGCTGGTGAGAGCTTGCCAGAGCATCTCCCCTCACCACACCAAGCTGGAGTGGCCCAGCCCCAGGGAAAGCCACTTCTCCCAGCCTTGCCCCCCAGCCACCAACTGCCAGGGCTGAAGCTCTCTCCAGAAGGCTCCCTCTGGGTTTCCAAGGAAACCTCCTGAAATGAGCCTCTGCAGAGCCACGGCCACACAGGCAAGGCTGGGATAGGACACCAGGACAAGCCCTGGCCACCGTGGCCAGTGCTGAGGTGGGCTCTCAAAAAGTGCTTCCTCTTGAAGTCCACCACCTCTGAACAACGTGGGGGTTGTTTGTCATGGGGAAACCTAAACAGGTACACTCTGACACGTGCCCTTGGAGATGGGCAACACACCCAGCACCTGGCTGCACTCCCAACCTCAGTCCTGGCCAGTATGGATGCAAAGGAAGCACTGCAAAGCCTTCCCAAGAAGTCATGACCACCAAATGCCTCCCCAGTCTGCCTCCAAGGAGATGTGACTGGGCAGTGAAGAGTTTTGGGGCCAGACCACCTCTCTAACATCAGGGGTGAGTCTTCTGACAGAGCCACCCCCAACACAGAGCCAAGTTTCACACTGACTGGCAGCTGGAAGCTGGTTTTGTTAAGCTTTGCCCTTCTTTGGGACAAGCTCAAGGAGGATGCTTGGAAGGACTGGTACCACAGCTGCCAGCAGCCCCACCTGAGAGCCAGCAAGAGCCAAACCTGCAGCACAAACCCTGCAGGAGGAGGTGGGAGGAACTCTGCTTCCCTCCAAACCATCAACACCCAACACCCTGAGACTCCACCAGTGCTCTTCAACAGCTGGAAAACGAGACCTTCAAACCTGGAGCCAAGCAGCAAGGTCCTTGCTCCACCTACTCATTGCACAAGAACACCCTGAGCCCCTACGAGCCATCTGGGTGAAGAATTTCTCTGGTAGTGTGGGGCCAGACCCCAGGGACAGGGAGGACACATGGGGCATGGCCAGAACTGGAGGAAAAGGTGGTTTTCATGCAGACCAAAGCAGTCAGGGTTGGGCAGAGACACACACACCATCATGCTGGAGGTTGGTGTGCTCCAGACACCATCCTTCTGCCTCTACAGCAGCAGCAGGCACCCCTTGCTCCTCATTTTATGCTGTGGGACAACCAGAAGCTTGTGAAGGACAACCACCTGCCTTGTGAAAGGGGAATTTGGGGCACATCATGAGCAACTCTAAGGAGCAAAACCCTGTGTGGGCTTGACAGAGGCTCAAAGCTTCACCCCCATCAGCTGGCAGGTCTTCTAGCAGCTCATCATCACCACTCAGCACTTGCAGGAAGGTTTTATTATTACTATTGGGTGTATTTTTATAGCTCTTGTGATCCCCCAGCTTGGTTGAAGTGGTGCTGGACCACGTGCAGTCATCCCTGGGGAGTGATGGGTGTGTATCTGGGGCTGGGATGGGTGGATGGATGGGTTATTCCTAAGGCATGGACCACGTGTGATCCCCACAGGACAGGGCAGCAGAGCTCAAGTTCACCCTCCTCCAACACCAGTCCCAGGAGGACTTTGGAGCAGAAAACTCTTTTAATTTTCATTTTCCTGACTTCTCCCAAAACCTAGGAGACAGGAGATTGCTTCCAGCACATGCACACAACCTCTGGGGCAGGACCTTGTGATGAAGGCAGCAGCCACATTTCACCCAACATGTTTTGCAGCAGGTTATAGGAATTTCAACAAAATTAAATTCATAACAACCTGTAACTACAGGCACACAGTTTGTGAGAAAATACTTAATTGGGTGGTGCAATTAGCCCTGCTGTAACGAGCTGCCCTCAGATAACCACAGGACCTGAATCTTCTTGCCCTCCATGTGCCCACCACCCATATCTCAGTGCCCAGCCCAGGACAAAATGCCCGGTGGCAACAGAGCATCAGCTTCAAGTGCTAAAGTCACCACATTTCCATAAGTTCACCTGTTTTTTTGCCCTTCTAAATTCAACCTAAAATAGTCCTGCTTGCTAGCAGCTACTTTGGCTGGAGGAGGAACCATCTCCTCCACCCCAGAGGAGGGTTTCAGGTACCACACGTTGGCCAGCATCACTCACAGGAGGAGGGAGCCAGCTCCCCAAGCTGTAAAGGCTGGGTTCATGAAATAATCCATGGCAGTTTATTCCCCAGAACTAGGAGGTTTGGGTTTTTTTTTCTGACACATCTCTCCCCTTTCCAGCAGCCCAGATAAGCAGCAGGACTCACATGGCTTTGTGGCTACCCCCTCCCATAGCTCCGAGGGAAATAACAGCCACCCCTGAAATCCAGGGACACAGAGGAGGGAAAATAAAGAAGAGACAAAGCTGTGAAACGAAAACAAGCCACCAGACCCCCTGCCCAAACTGAACAAACCCTCCCTGTGTCTGCCAAATTCACCCTCAGGCTGCAGCTCCACGGACCACCCGCTGTCCCCTGGTCTCCTGCTCCAGAGAGGCTTCACCTCCCACAAGTATTTTGGAATCAGAAACTCTATGTCACTGAGCTGGCTTAAAGATAAGCCTGACAAGGGGCAGCTTCACCACTCTTTGCCCTAATAGATTTTTTTTTCTAGTTAAGCTTTGTAATATCTTACTATCACAAAGCCACCTTCCACCTCAGCTCAGTACTGAGGGTAGAGGAAACACTGTTGAGCAGCTCTTGCTTTCAATAAAAATCACTTTTCAAGAGAACTGGGGGAAAAACAGAGGGCAAACACACTGGAAAACAACCATCCCCCTGGCAGCCCTGCCTGCTTGATTCAATATTTGTCTCAGGCAAGAAATCATCTATAAAATTGAACACTTATCATCAGCTAGGGACCAAACTCAGATCCCACCTGAATTTTTCAGATGTGTCTCTTGATTGTGGTATCTATTTTTCGGTCTGTCAGGGTTATCCTTGAAGAAGTTTTCCTCTTGCCCAAGCCAGTTCATCAGCAGATCTTAAGGAGCAAGGGCTCTGTCAGCACCAGGCTGGATAAGTATTAAAGAGCTGCCCCAGTTTCGACCAGTTGCCGAGAGCATCGCAGATGTGTCTGCTCCAGTTCCCCTCCCAGCTCGGGGCTTTTGCCTTGAGGCTCTTAAGGAATTAAAATCCTTTGGTGTTAAAGGCCTGTCCTCTCCCCAAGGGATGGGGAAAAGGGTGGGAGGGGAATGGTGAGGGCAGTGATTGACACACCCCTGTGAGTTGGGGATGTATCGACAATGAATGGGAAATTATGTCCCATCTGGTCACAGCTTTTCAAGGTTAAGGAGGGGAAAAAGAGAGGCACAAAAATAAAGAAGAGGGGGGGAAGAAAAGGGGAGGGGGAATCCCAGCCAGCCCCTGCAGCCCTATTCAGCATCAGGATGAAGGGGACCAGCAAGCCACCCAAAACCAGCCCCAGCACCCGACTCCTCGCAGGGAGGGGTGGTGGACAGCAGGGCGTCAACAGGATGCCCAGCAGAAGTTCAAAACCACTGTAGGAACAATAAACAGCAACAAAAATAAATTGGTAATTCATGTTTTCAGTCTCTCTTCTGCATCCTCCACGTCCTGCATCCCTGCCACTACCCTGCTCCCATCCCTGCATCCCAGCAGACGGCAAAGAACCAAGAGACAAGGCAGCTACAAGCAAAATAAAGCAAAATAAAACCACTCAAATATCACCAGCTCTCAGTTTATCCACCCCTGAAAACACATCAGACAGCTGACAGCATCACACCCAGATCTAACAAGCACCAGAGTCCATCTCCAAGGGGTTTCTCCTGGCCAGCTCCATAGGGAACAGCATCCAAGACCTCTGGGAAACCTGCTCCATGCCTGACGCCACCAGCATCACCCTGGCAATGTTTTATTTATGTCTATATATATATAAATATATATTAAAATTATCTTTTAAATGTATATAAATACAGATTTAAAAGTATCTTTTTTGTATATGTAGGAAAAGTATCTATAAACTATCCCATATGTAGTACCCTAGATAATATCTTTTATTTATACCTACAGAAAAGATAAACACTTTAAAGACTAAAAGATATTTTATTAATTCATATAAATATTAAAAAACCCTAAAGGATACTAAATAGATATATTTAAAATCAGGACTAGGACTGAGAGCAGCTCCACTTTTAGCACTCTAGATTCAATCTGGCATAACCCAACTCATACCACACACTAGAAAATCTCCAGCAGGTTTAATTCTCTTGGTGAAGTGAAGAAAAACTTCCTCATGCTGTGGCCAGAGGAAAAAAAATCTCTTGTTCTATAAATTTTGTTAATTTTAAAACTATTTTTATTAATGCTTTTATTAATAGTTATTTTTAAAATCAGAGATCTAAAACTGGAGAATCCCAATCTCTTGTTCTATAAATTTCGTTAATTTTAAAATTATTTTTATTAATGCTTTTATTAAGAGTTATTTTTAAAATCAGAGATCTAAAGCTGGAGAATCACAGGAGGACTTTTTCTGCCCATAGGTGCTGGTGGCTTTTCCTGGCAAAGCAACTGGTTTGCACGGGGGTTTTCTCTCCTCTAATTAAGCACCTGATTGACCACCAGCAATTAATAATAAGGAAATAAAAGGTGGGCTGCCAATGGGAAGACAAAAAGGGCTTACACATTTATTCCAAGCTGTAGTGCCACCAGCATTTCGTGTTTAAAAACAAAAAGGGTGGTGGGGAAATGAATTAAAAAATAGACCAATAAATAAATGCAAAATATGTGGAAATAAGAATTGAACTGATGCTCAAGAGAGGAAACTGATTTTAGGATCATTCCTTTTGAAAGATGAGAAAATCCAGCCGATCCCATAAAATTATTATTATGTTTTAATATTATAGAGATTTCCAGCCCAAGCTCTCTCCAGCAGCCTCCCACTCTGCGTTGTTCAGACATCCCCCCTGCTTTTATTTCTCTCAGCTGAGAGTTACAGCAGAAGCAGAC